CAAAAGTGATTTTTAATTTTGACCATTGTTGACCTGAAAAGAGACCAACTTTGGTCGCTAATTATACTTAAATTTAAATTAGCGACCAAAGTTGGTCGCTAAATTTAAATTTATATTTTATATAATATTTAAAATAATAATATAATTGTTAAACGGGTCCCATATTAGCGTCCAAAGTTGGTCTCTATTTTATAAGCGACCAACTTTGGTCGCTAACTTTGAATTATATTTATTTATATTTTATAATTTTTTTTAAATAATAATATAATTATTAAAATTTTATAACAGGGTCCCATATTAGTGACCAAAGTTGGTCTCTATCTACTTACCCTTTAATTAGCGACCAACCTTGGTCGCTCATTTTAAATTATATTTATTTATATTTTATAATTTTTTTAAATAATATTATAATTATTAAAATTTAATAAGTGGGTCCCACAATAGCGACCAACGTTGGTCGCTAATCTCAGTATTTCTTTGACCAAGCAAGTCTGACCAGTCCGGTCAACATTTCGACGAAATTATTAACCAAATAGCGACCAACTTTGGTCGCTAATGTATTTAAAATAATTATTTTATTATTTTCTCCAATTTAGAGACCAACGTTGGTCGCTTTTCTTGACAGCCAACTTTGGTCGCTAAAGTTTGGTCGGTTTTTTCCGGAATTCTAGTAGTGAGGGAAGATCCACCCCTCAATATAAATCAACCACGCTCACTGAGGGTGTGTGCAGACTCCGGAGGGGCTCTCTCGGCCCAAGCACTATCGTAAATCAGTTAAACCCATTGCAGCGTGCAACCCGATCCCATAAACATAATCAATATAACATGTTGCGGCGTGCAGCCCGATCCCATAATATCACTCTCGCTCAGGCCCTCATCCTCACTCAGTCATAAATCTCTTAAGTATCTCGGGCTCATTGCCATAAAACTAGCCCAAAATAATGATATGATGTATCAATAAATGGTAACAGAGACTGAGATATGATATGCATATGAATGCGTATGACTGTGTATGTAAAGCAATGAAAGCAGATAACTCAACAGCAGAAATGACCTCAGTGGGTCCCAACAGGTTAAGCATGTAGCCTAGACATGGTTTCTAACATGAATCACAGCTCAATAGCTCAAGTACATAGAAATTTCATGGTTAGAGATAAGATAAGGTAGCTACACAATACCACAAGAATAACGGAGTCACAACTTACACGGTGCACGCCCACACGCCCGTGACCTAGCATGTGTGTCACCTAAACACCAAACACATAGCACATAATTCGGTGTTTCATACCCTCAGCACCAAGTTTAGAAGTGTTACTTACCTCGAACAAGCCAAATCCAATACCGAGCAAGCCAAACGATGTTCCAAAGATGCCATCCCGCGTGTACCAACCTCCGAACGGCTCAAAACTAGCCAAAAGCAACTCAAATACATCAAATAAAGCCCAAGAAAATAATTTCAAGCGATAAAGGTCGAATCCTTAATCAAAAGCCCAAAATCGGCCAAAAAGTCAAAACTTGGGCGCGCACCTCGGAACCCGACGAAACTCACAAAATCCGATAACTCGTTCAGTTACGAGTTCAACCGTACTAGTTTCACTCAAATCCGACTCCAAATCTATGTTCAAAACTCAAAAATTCACATTATGAAACTTTAGGCAGAAACCCCTCAATTTCTCTTCAAAATTCATCAACCAATTGCCAAAAGCTAAGATAGATTCATGAAATATAACCAAAACCGAGTAGAGAACACTTACCCCAATCCACATGGTGAAAATTGCTTCAAGAATCGCCTCAATCTGAGCTATGTAAAAATGGTCGAAACCCCCGAAATAGAGTACTTTATAATCTGCACATATATTCCTCTTACGCGAACGTGGGAAGTCCATCGCGTACGCGATGAACAAAATATGCTGCCACCAAAACTACTCTATGCGATCGCGAACAAGCCTCCGCTAACGCGAAGAACAACTCAGCAGCCTCTCATTAGATACTACGCGATCGCGGATTTAAACATGCGAACGCGGAACACACTGCTCCCACACTACACGAACGCGGCGGCACTTATGCGAACGCGTAGAAGAAACTCAGATTCCCAACTGCCATCTCTTGCCCTATGTTAACGCGTCCTACACCATGCGAACGCGAACAGTGACTAGCTCCAAGGTAGGCGATCACGTCCCTCTAATCGCGACCGCGATTAAGAAACTTCCAAGCTCCTGTTCTCCCTCTACGCGACCGCATCACATTTTTCGTGATCACAAAGACCAAATGAGACACCAGAAACCAGATTACACCCGCAATCAAACATGAAGGAAAAATGATCCGAAATCAATCCGAAACACGCCCGATCCCCTCGGGACCCTATTCGAATATGCCAACAAGTCCAATAATATAACACGGACCTACTCGAGGCCTCAAATCACACCTAACTACATCGAAACGACGAATCGCACCTCAATTTGAACTTGATGAACTTTGAACTTTTCAACTTTCAAAACTTGTGCCGAAATATAGCAAATCAATCTGGAATGAATCCAAATTTTGCATAAAAGTCCCAGATGACGTAACGAAGCTATTCTAATTCCAGAACCACAATCCAAATCCGATATCAAAAAGTCCACTCCCCGTTAGACTTTCAAAAAATTCAACTTTTGCCATTTCAAGCCAAATTCAACTATGAACCTCCAAATCACAATCTGGACACGCTCCTAAGTCCAAAATCACCCAACAGAGCTAACGGAACCATCAAAACTTCAATCCGAGGTCAAATACTAAAAAGTCAAACTTGGTCAATTCTTCCAATTTAAAGCTTCCTTGTTGAGAATCATTCTTCCAAATCAATTCCAAATAGTCTGAAAACCAAAACCTACGATTAACACAAGTCATAATACATCATACAATGCTACTCATGCCCGTAAACTACCGAGCAAGTGCAAATGCTCAAAACGACCGGTCGGCTCGTTACAAGTTTTCACATATCTAATCACAAATAGTCCAGTATATTATACTTGTACTAGTGTTAGAACCCGCGGGATGTGCGAATAATTTGACGGAATAGTTATCTTATAAAATTATGATCTAATATATCATATTATTTTAATAAATAATAGTTGTACTATTTTATTATTTAATGTAGTATACATAAATATAATAAAATTTATACAAAATCGAAGGATACAAAGCATTATAGTAATCAAATATATTGTTCTTGTGTATTCTTTATTAGATTAGCAAGTACTTAGTACGATACGTTTACGAATGTGATTTTTTATTAATTTGTCAATTGGCTTAATATTTTGATATTNTTTTGTCTTATGTTATATCCTTATTGCTTCAACTTAGCATTTTAGCAATGTAACTTTTAATACTATATTATAATAAATTCTGCTCTATTTTCTTATTTCTTTCACGACAAATGCTAAGTACTGTGTAAAACAATTTGTGTACCTTAAAAGTTTTATCTACTTGGCAAATAGGTTTACTTATATAATAATTTTGAAACAAAATTGAATTGACTTTTTTGCTGCTTTATTAATTCAAAGACTTAATTATTTGTTGAGATTTCATGCTTTTATGATAGTATAGAAGATACAAATTATTTTTGAACTTTTCTGGTACTCGAGCATAATATTATTCTCTTTATCGGTTTATGTAATATTGAATAACATTTAATAATTAGAATAAATATTTAATTAGGTACAAACCTCTTGCTAACAGTATATAGAAACATGTTAGAATTATAGGTTCCCTAATAAGAGGAATCAATGTGAACATATTTCTATGGAAATTACCGTGAGTGTATATAAGGAAAAGAAACAGTATATAAGGAAAAGAAACGTAATACTCTTACTTCTCTTAAATAATATCTATTTTAAAGTCCTGAATATTAGGATTTCTTACTTAATTCAATAACGAAAAATCTAATAATCGAAATTTTAGTTTCTTTTAAAGTCTTAAATAATAGGATAATAATTAATGACTTTTTTGTCCAATGTGAACTCTATTTTAAAAGGCTAAAAAAGGCGAACGACATTTCGGCTTAATATTAGGATTTCTTGCTTAATTCAATAAGGAAAAATCTAATAATCGAAATTTTAGTTTCTTTTAAAGTCTTAAATATTAGGATAATAATTAAATGACTATTTTGTCTAGTGTGAACTCTATTTTAAAAGGGTAAAAAAGGCGAACAACATTTCGCTAAGGGCCTTCGTGCTTTTAATATAGTATAGATTACTTTCTTCTGCAATATTCCTCATGGTGTAGCCTGATTTTATTCTTTGGTCCAAGCATGTGGAAATGCTCTTCCAGTACTTCTTTTACTGATATAATTTAATACTTTCATAAAATAATCTATATAATAATAGACTAGGTGTTTTCTTAAGAATGCCATAAGCTAATTCTGTATGTTTAGCTGCTTCTTCAAGTTGATTGGTGAGAGTTCCTCTTTCTTTGTAGTAGTATTAATGTCTTGACATAAGACATTGTAAAAGCAGTGGAATGTATATATACCTAATTTGAGATTAGGTGTGTCCCGATTCATTCACCCATTTTAACTGGGGTATATTAAGAGAAGAGTTGAGAATATGAGTTGCTTAATATATTTGATCTTTTAGAAAACATATGGGGCCATGTATTGATTCTCATGTTGTTAATGTTATAGAATAGTGAAAAAAGTGAAGTTGCATTGAGAAGAATCTTGTAACACTTTTTATACTGTACAAACATATTCGGGGTTCCTGATTAAGGAAAGCCTGCAACATTTCGTGACAATCCAAATAAGAAAGTAATATAACTATTTTCAGGACGGAGATTGTAACTCGTGATTGGTATATACTTAATCTGAATATTCCTGATTTGGTCAATCATTATTCAGTACTTTTTCTCCTTGATTCTCTTTATTTCACTATTACTTCCACTTGTTCATTTATCAACGATATTAGATTCTTCACTAATCATCTATTTTGGTCAATACTGATATGCTTTATCCTGTTAACTTGCAGCTTATGGGATATAAATCTTATGCTGAATTTTCTCTACATTCTACTATGGCTGCATCTCCTGAAGTGGTCTTATCCTTTTTGCTTGAGATGAGCAAAGTGGTCAGACCAAAGGCTGATCAGGTATGTTCCGAGAGTAGATTTTACTTATATGAATGAGACACTGATTGTATTGCTCTGCTAGGGCTGATTCAAGCTCTTGAAAATCTTGATGCTTTAAATAGGAGTTTGAGGCAATTCGGGATTTCAAGAGAGAGAAAAGTGGTGAGCCTAATGGAGAGTTGGAGCCGTGGGATGAGGCATACTTCACGTGGTTGATGAAGTCTGCAACATACAAGTTGGACTCCTCGGTAACCAGCGAAGCCTAATTATTTTTCTATTATCTTATCAAGGTGTACCAGTGGTCTTTCTTACTCTACATTCTATTTTTAGTGTCTCCATAGATGGATGAGAACGTATAAAATATATGCTGATAACTCATCAAGGATACAAAGTGATTGATTAAATTGAACTAAAAATGGAAAAAGGCATGTTTTCCCAGGCATTGAGAGGTCAGGTTCTCCTGGAACTTAAAAGCATTGAGCCAACTACTTAGCCTTTAAAGAAGGATATTTCTCCATCTTCTTCTTCGTTTGCTGGAGTCTTATTTTGTTTCTTGGAGACGATTCTGTGGACTGATGATGTGAGTTCAGAAAAAGCATGAAATTGAATTCATAAATGGGTTCGGAAGACATGTATGACTATCTGATAGCTGTTTTCCTTTGGAATTCTTCATCCACCTGTTCTCTCATATGGACAAGAGGAAGTGATTACCATTGGCAATTAAAGGCTTTTGAGCAAAACTAGCGCCACTGTCAGAGCTTGGGCTTCGTCAGAGTGTAGTTTATTTCATGTGTAATTAATGCGATCGAGTAAATTGGGCTTGCTCTTCTATTTTCTTGTGTCTCATGGAAATTTTACCTACTTTCTGTATTGGTGAAATTGGATGTAAATCTTAAGAAGAGGTGGACTGAGAAGAGAGCATACCATTGAAATTCCTCGTTTCCTCCTATTTTGTTGTGAATGGGTTTGACATGAATGACTATCCTAGCTATAAATACTTATAGATTTCTGATTCAACTGACATATGAAGTACTAATTGCTGCTCTGATGAAGATTTTTACATGCTCTGAAGGTTCTTTTTGTTTTGTTTTGTCATCTCTCAATGTAATTAAAGACCGTTTCTTGACAGAACTGCTCTTGTTGTTAATGTTGCAGATTATATCATCATATTTTCCCTTACCACAGTGTATTGAGGGTTTGAAAATTTTGGTTGAGTCACTCTTTGGTGTGACTTTTCACAGAGTACCCCTTGCACCCGGTGAATCATGGCATCCTGATGTGTTAAAGATAGTGCTACATCATCCGACTGAGGCAAGTCTAACATTCTAGAATGGCTATCTTGTTATATAGTAACATATGTCATCTTAACTATGAGATTACTGGAGATCCACCTTTCAAAGAAAATACTTTTTCTCTTTCTTTACTTTTGCGTTTCCCTTTTGATTTGAAAATTTTGGTGTGGCAAAGGAGGTTTCTGATATCGTACCCATTCCTTCCCAAGTTGCACGTCGCAGGTTCGAATTTTGCATAGGCAGTTTTCTTATTCACTAGGTAGGGGCAAGGTCTGCGTACACACTATCCTCCCCAGACCCCACGATGTGGGATAATACTGAGCATGTTGTTGTTGTTGGATGGCAAAATGGACTAATGGTCTAAAATTGGGGGTGCTGGCAGATTTAAATTAACTTTGCCTTTCTTTGTCTGTCAAGTTTATCCATTATAATATCCTGATGTGCATTTGGCTCTTCCTTTAATGTTCATTTAGTGGTAGTTTTAACATCCATCCACTTGAACTAGTTTATATACGTAATTGCAGGGAGACCTGGGGTACTTGTACCTTGATTTAAAGTCAAGAAAAGGTAAACATCCCATTTGTGCTCATTTCGCTATCCGAGGAGGGCGTCGTGTTTCCGAGACAATATACCAACTTCCTGTATGTAAGATCGTAATTCTCTTTTTTCTTCATAGTTTTTCATATCATATGCTATGCATGTATTTTTATTATGTCTTTATTTAGCAACTGGAGTAATGTGTAAGTTTGAGGAAAACAGGACCACCAGGAAATGCTCTGTTGATCAGTCATCCATATTACATTGTTCAATATACCTGTTTCAACTGGGTATGGTGCGGGCATTGGGACTTATCTTTCACAATACCCTGGAATAAAAATCATGTGTACCTGTACCTAGTAGCTTAAAAGTGGTCAATTTTTAAAGGTCATCCAAAGTTCATTTATAGTTTATGCTGATAGACCCCAATTCTTTTCTTAAATTAAATGTCTTTTTCTACTTGCAAGTTGTAGATTCTCTGATTTCTCGTTAGTTATGCTATCTAGATGAGTTCTCAAAGGTCATCCGAGGAAGTTGTTTTTAGTTTATCCAATAGAAACTTGTCCTAGCGTACCAACCCCCTCCCCCCCCCCCCCCCCCCCCCCCTAAAAAAAAAAAAAAAATAAAACCTAAATCAAATGTTTGTTTGTACATGTAAGTTTGAGGCTTCTGTAGTCTCTGGGTAGCCATATCATTTAAATACATAATATCATGCTAGAGTCTACTTCTGGATGATATGGATCATTGCAATATTTTTATTTTATTTTTACCTAGTTATTGAGAAATTATCTGTGCATGTTAAACTCATAGGTTGTAGCACTGGTTTGCAATTTCTCTGGGTCGAGTTTGGCTCCTGTGAGGCTTAACCACTTTGAAGTAGAAACACTTTTCCATGAGTTTGGGCATGCTCTCCATTCATTGCTCTCAAGAACGGTACTAGTTTTGTTCTGCTTCTATTTGCTAGTGGTTTTTCACTTTCGCTTTGAAATATTCATCGAGTTCACTTGATGGCTGGCTACTTGTGCAGGAATATCAACACTTTTCGGGTACGAGAGTGGTTCTTGATTTTGCTGAAACGCCGTCAAACCTATTTGAGTGAGAAGAATGCTGACTCTTTGATCCATACTATTCATCAGTGATATGAAGACAAATGTTTGATGAACACTGCCCATTGGATTATCTGCTGTTTGTTTACCTTTTTGTTTCATGTGATATCATCGCCGTTAGATTTGGCACGAAATGGATTCTTTTGATCCTAGTTTTTCTGGTTTAAGCACCACTAGTATGCAATGTACATGCTATATATTCTATGTGCTGGGTGAATGCTTCATGCGCATGTTGATGCTGTCGTATCAGTTATTAACTAGAGTACTGGCAATGTTGTTGATCCATAGGTCCTATGCATGGGATTATCGGGTGTTAAGGACATTTGCTAAGCACTACTCAACTGGTGATGTCATTCCCAAAGAACTCGTGGAATCAATGGTGGGAGCTAAGAAGATGTTTGCTGCAACTGAATTGCAACGCCAGGTATCTTTTGCAGGGGCCTTCCTTGTTAACTCTGTTTGTGAGCATTTCTTCAGTTCAATTTTTAGGAAACTTGGGTTAAGAGCTTTGACCTATGCAGCCTTTTCATTTTATCAGATCTTCTACGCATTAGTTGACCAAACACTTTTCGGAGAGCAGACATCCACATGGAGAGATACAATGGCGATCGTTGCAGATTTGAAAAGACAACATACAAGTTGGACACATGTGGAAGGAACACATTGGCATACCCGATTCAATCACCTTACAAACTATGGTGCAGGTATCTGAATGATATAGTTAATGGACTCACGTTTGTGATAGTTGCCTCTATATGTGAGAGAACATTGCACTGTTATTTATCTGATATACCATCTGCACACCTACTATTTGGCGATTTGGACATGGTTCAATAAATGCATGATTCATAGTAGGTGGTCCAATCAGGATTTCTTCTTTACCACCTTTAAACTTTGATCTTAAGTATCTTTCTTGAAAAATACAACAACAACAACAACAAACCCAGTTTGATCCCGACATGTGGGGTCTGGGGAGGGTAGTCTGTACGCAGACCTTACCCCTACCTAATGCAGGTAGAGAGGCTGTTTCCAATAGACCCTCGGCTCAAGTATCTTTCTTGAAAAATGATTTTAGTATCAGATTAGTTACTTGTTAGATGTGCGATGCCTCCATAATCTGTTGTGTGATTCTCAGAACTCGAAGGTAAGTGGGAGACAGTAATGGGGCTAGTGGAAACTTTGGCAAGATGGTATGGTGGGTGTTAGTTCCCTTTTTCCCTTTCTTCTTGGCGAGTAGTTAGATATGTGTTTTCCTTTTTTTGGATGTCAATTGGTCATTCTTAGATTCTAAGAGACTTGTGCAATTATATCGAAAGTGGAGATTTGACTGATGTACCAAAATATTGAGATGCCACGAGAACTATAAATATAATTTGTTTAATTAGTCAAATAATGTATCATAAAGGTTTTTTATCCCCTTAAAGGGGATATTTGACGTAAAAATTCACTGCTTGATATGGTGTAATAGAGAATTGTGGAAATAGAAGATGCAAGAAAGATGTACTCTATAACATCCAACCTTTTATCTTCAGCTTGTTCTAGTTGTGGAGTTCTATTTCCTAAAGATGTAAAATGCAGAAGGTTTTAGGTTATAGAGTAAATCGATAATGACGAGCTTGGAATGTAGAGCAACATTCGTCTGAGGTAGTTGTGAAGATTTTCTTTCTTCTTTGTTACTATTTGATTTATTCCTTTTTCTTATCTGTTTTTGATAAATATTGTTTTTTGGAATGTTTGGTTCTAAATCTTTGTATTATATCAATTCTGGTGTAGCTTATATCCATTATGTATATTTTATTTTTCACTTCATTGCACTTACTAATAAAAATGTATAACATCTTTAACCTTGTGCAGGTTACTATAGCTACTTGTATGCAAAATGCTTTGCCACAACTATCTGGCAAAGGATATGCCAAGAGGATCCTTTATCATCGGACACGGGTTTGGCTTTAAGAACGAAATTCTTGCAGCATGGAGGAGCCAAAGATCCAGCTGATATACTGAATGATCTTGTGGGGAGTGGCATCATAAGGAATTGCAGTGGTGGAATAATACCGGACATTACAAGCCTTTGTGAGGAAATGGAGCTCATGAAAAGCTAGCAAAGGGAGTTCTAGCCCCCAAAATAAGATAAAGTATCTCCTCCCCTGTACTAAACAATGGTGAGGCAAAGTAGCTAGCGTGCAAATTGCAGGCCATCATAGAAGGGTTTGGAGTGACTTGGAGTTGATTTAGGAAGAGGCTTCCCATCGTAATAGTAGTAACTATATGATGCTGCTGGTCTGAAGAGATTTCATCACGGCCAAGCAAGCAAATTAAACAATTTGCAAGCATGTCATTCTTTAAGTTAGTGTTCAGAGGAAACATCTCATGGCCGTTGGCCAGGCCATTTATTGAGCAATTCTCCAAAGAAACTAATTGTGCGTATTTTGACCATTCTTTGCTTAATTTGACAAGTGTACGTATTCCAATAAAACAGAAGAGACGTAATGATGCAAGGAATTTATCAATGTGCAACATGAATTTAGACCGAGGAAGTGGTATGGAAAATAACCCAGCATCCCCAAGAAAAATAAAAAAATAATGGATAAAAATACACTTTTTCTACCTTTTTTTAACCAAGCCCTACTCTTCCTCCGGTCCCCGAAAAGACAAAAAGAAGAGCCAATAGCACTCCTGATTTCCAGTAGATGATCCTTTTTTTTTCTTTACTCTCGGGTGTGACAGGTTTCCCTTAAAATCCCAAGACATCTTGTATAGAATTGATATACAATTTTCTTAGTGGTTCTTTCAGTTCTGATTTCTGCCAGAAATGTCTCTGGGTGCTTTTATCCACTTAAATACAAGATATGTTCATGAACTCATGAAAGACACACAACTCTAAATTGGCACGGCTAGGCATAAAATTTTTAGGAGTGGTGTTTTGGGTTAACGTGCACGTACCTCAAGGTACATAAAGTGCCATAGCACCAAGTATGTAAAAAACATATTTGCAACAATAAAGGAGATGTTTAGGTTATTAGGACTATAAGAAAACTATCATTATACATAAGCTTTTAATCAGGATTTCCTTTTAGTGCACTTTTTTTTTCTTCCGATTATGCAAATTCCACATCAAATAATAAGTAATGGAAAAAGAAAGTAAATGTAAATTATTGTTTTTTTTAAAAAAGAAATGACCCCCTCCCCTTCCCCCTCCCCCATCTAGATTCTATAGTAAATGGCAAGAACAGAACATAACTTGAAAAATGATTGTAAAAGATTTAGCTTGAAGACTCAAAAATCACAAATTGTTATAAATAGAATTGTATTTATGGTGAATGCCTATATTTAGAGAGATTCTAGGGTTCATTGCTTGGTGGCTAAGTCACCCTCTCCCTATAAATAGAGGGTTCTATTCCATTGTAATTCATCCCAAAATCAATAAGAATCCTCTCCCTCTACTTTTCTCTGCAATACTCTTCTTGTTCTTTTATTGTTTCATAACACGTTATCAGCACGAGACTCTAACCAAGTAAGTAGAAGCTTTGGGATTGAGCATAATGATTGTCAATTGTTCCATGAACTTCCTTCATGATTAAATTCTGGATTTAAGGTAAGTATCTTACTTTATTTTTCTCTTTTAAATTCTTGAAATTCTATAATTTGATTTTATATACAAGCAAAGACAACAAAGTTTGATTATAACTCTAATGGAGTTTGAAAGAAATTATAACCACCCAAAGTGGTAAAATTTCTATGTCTTTCCATGATCAAATTCATGTATGATTATGGGCACAAAAAGTGGAAACTCGTCCCATTGAATTTGCTCCATTCTCATTCCCTTAAGAGAATGTGATAGCAGTATGTGATAAGTCTGAAAGAAGACAAATTATCACTATGAATATATCAATGGATGTGGACGTGGCAATAGACGAAATTATAATCGTCATCATTGTGATAATGAGAATAATAAGGATTCTCAAAATAANACATGAGAAATTTAATTAGTATATGTATTTTTAAGATATCATTTGCTTTATTTTTTTTTTTAGTATTCTTCATTTATGACTATTTGTTTATTATGATTTTAGTTATGTGTCTATATATATATATATATATATATATATATATATATATATATATATAAATTGTTT